ACACACACATACAAACGGGACACACACTAGTCTAATACGCTAAAAATTAGGGCCGCGATAGTATTCGCCACCTCTGACACCCGTAAAAAACTTTTATCACACGCAGTAACCACTGCACGTAGACAAATTTCTTCCCACAGATGAAGGCTTATTTACTCAGGTTTTCCACCCAAACTCTTCCCCTCCTCCTTCACCTATTCATCCACGAAATTTATCCTTCATCGGAAGCAGGGGCATCTGGAAGTAGTGGAAGTGGTGGTGCACGTCAAATGCAAGATAAGCTCCGGCAAAACTTTCAACACTCCTCTTTTATGAAGTCCTCCAAAAGGCTTTGTTGTCAACTTCTCATCAAAAGGAATTACTTTTACACGGCCAAAATCGAATTCACAGACCAGCCCTACATCAGAACTAGGCAGTGCTACATGCCAGTACATCCGAACCGAAAAAAAAACAGGAATTTGCTGGAAATTATCCTGCACAACGAAACAAATGAACCAAACAAACCCAAGAGCAAGTTCGAATTTGGCTGAGAGAAAAAAAAAACTAACCTTAAAAAAAATTGGAGCAACTGCTGTTATGGCCTTTTGCTATAGTTATCTATCATTTCGGCGATTTTCGGTGATGTTCGTTTGGCTATCGTCAGTGGTGTTTCGCCTGAATTTGACAACGCTGCCACATCAATACCTGAAACACTCAGATTCTTTTCTGCATTAGGCATACTTTTTACGCACAATTTCCCCTATAATTTCACCGGCTGCTTTTTGAATTTCAGTTACTGACACTGCAAAATGTGGACTTTCAACTGTTATTTCCTTCTTTTTTCCTCACAATTCCGCATTATTCCTGTTTCCCTTCGATTCCTGGTATTGAGAGTTTGCATAACTTATTTACTTGCATTAGGGCCAAAAAATATTTACACTGGCTGGCCCGATAAGGCTTAATAAGCTTCGCTTTGTCTGTGCCCCTCCAGGAAATCAGTAACTGAACGCGAAATCGTTGCTGCTCCTGATCCGCAGTCGTATCCCTCTCTTTC